AAGCAGTGGTATCAACGCAGAGTACTGGATAACTTTGGAAAGAAGCATCACAGTGAAGTGAAAATTTCGCAATCAACATCAGCGGCATCCACTATCATAATATAAGAGTTTTTGACTTGTTTGGTTTTGTTCCGAGGCAGAATATGGCTTCCAGTTGCTTAAAATCCTTGTCAAAGTTTCTACAGTAATCCTACAGTAATGAAGAGAGATCGGTGATTCGCTTGATTGTAAAAATCTAAGTTGAAGCCTTCTCCAAAGAATGGTATGTGAATGGCGGAAAAACACACAATGGGAAGAGAGATATTAACGATTGAAAAGTGTGTACTTACTTTTGGACACCCTGTATATATATATATCAGTGGCGTACCCAGGATTTCGGCTCGGGGGGGGGGCGACAAAAATTTTTTTTCGATGAAGGTGCGTGGCGTTAGCCACGCACTCCGAAAATTTTTTTTGGGATGTTTCTCAAAAATTTTTGCGGGTCCCCAACCCCTAAAACCTGGAAAAAGGGGGCGTGGCTTCAGCCACGCCCCCGAAAAAAATTTTTTTTTACAAAGCTAATTTCAATTTTTAAAAATTTTTAAAAATTATTTTAATTGTTCACAAAAATAAACAAGTCACTTGCACATTTTTATAACCCATATAAGTAACTTTCAAAAACTTCGCGACCCCTTCTCGGGGGGGGGGGGTGCGCGCGCTCCCCCCGCCCCCCCCCCCCTCGGTACGCCACTGATATATATATATAAATTAGGTTGGCCCGAAAGTTCTGTCCCACCATTTTCAAAAATCATGACTTCTTATTTTTCCAACTGATTTGACTGCTTTCATTTTTATATGAAAGAGTAAGTCATGCTCTATGCAATGCCATCTTAGCTGCTTGCTAATGATCATCTGTTGCATAGATGGGAGCGGTAGAAGAAAATTAGTCAAAATTCGAATTTTCTGTGTAGGATCGTAAAAAATCGGAGACTTGCAACAAAAATTGGAGCAGTCGGTATTGTAAGTTCTTTCACCAGCTTTCTCTAACAGTGCAAAGTTTGCGCTGATTGAGCGTCTCTGTGAAAAGTTACGATTCCCTCGAAAAATGCCAAAATAAATCAAAATTGCCTTTTGTATTGCTTGCTCGAAAATCGCAACTTTTCAAAGA